TTTCAGCAAGCAGGGTTGTGTCATCTGCAAAATGCAGATTGTTGATAAATCGTCCACCAATCTTGACCCCACATTTCTTCTCATAGAGCCCAGCCTCCTGGATAATCTGTTCTGCATACAGGTTGAAAAGGTATGGAACCCCTAAACCTCAGGCTCAGGAATGCAGGCAGTGGATAGCTGTGTGTCTGCCATGCCCATGCTGTCCAGGAGAGGGTGCTCTGCACCCATCAGAGTGAAGGACACACTGATGGGGGTGGGGACGTGTTGGTGGGGACTGTCAGACACGGGGCAACTGCCACTCAGGGAGAGCCCTGGACACACACACACTGTGTCTGAAACTTGTAGCCCTTTTCTACTTTCTCTTCAAGGCTCAACTTTGGTCTATAATTCTTGTCTTCTCTGTTCAGTATCTGCCTCTTTTTCTATGACTGGGTCGCTCTGCAGGCTGGTGGTCTCATTTCTCTGTCTCTCTGTGGCATGCTATAAACCTGCCTTTCTTGGTCTCACTCACCAGGGACCCCAGACACACAGACTTTCACCTGCTCTGGCCTTTGCAACATTCAGGCTTCTTCAGGGAATGAAAAGCAAGATGTGTCCTCGGTAGGACCTACATTCCTAGAAGACCTCAGTCAGCTCAGACAGGGGGTGAGCTGTGAATTTCCAGAAGGAACTACATCCCCTTTATGCTCATATTCAGGTACTTCAACTCCAGGCCCTTGACTGGCCCAAGGTGCTGGACAGCCCCAGCCAAGGAAAGTTAGGGGCTCCTACAGGGAATTCTCAGAGGTCCCTGGCCCCGGCTGCTTATTCCTGAGGTGGGTCTCAGGGCATGGCCAGGAGGGAGGGTGGAATTGAGGGTGGAGATGGGGAGTCAGAAAGATGCCAATACCAGACAGACCGGACCTCTGCTTCTTCCAGACCAGGTCTTGGCCTTCAGAACACATCTGGTCTCAGAGCTATCAGAGAGGGAAGAAGGGGGTGGCCAAGATTCTCCCCACATTTCCTCCCACCAGAAACTTTATCCCTCTGGATGGAAGCCTCAATTTCTCCCCTGCCCTGTCATTCCTATAGATTTGGAACCAACTTCCAGCTGACCAGCAGCAATGTTTCAGAGGCTGGAAATCGCAAGAGAAGTGATTGCCCTTCTTTCTACCATAGAGCAGCTGGTGGATTTGAACCAAGAGACTTTGGGTTGATAATGCAACTCCTTACCCAGCAGGACAGCAGAACTCCCTACAATCCTTAATAAGAGATGGTATAATATAAAAACCATCATGAGCTGTGGACTCAGTAATATCTTGGTTTTGAATTAGGATTTGCTATATGACTCAGAGCAAGTTACTTGACCTTTCTGGACATTGGCTTCCTTATTTTTTTTTTTTAAATCAGCATTCACTGTGGGTTCTCAGTAGTCAGTGGGACACTAGACTAATTATTGTGAGGTATCATCGAATCAGCTCCAGCTCATACCCACGTACAACAGGACAAAGCCCAACCTAGTGGTTCACCACTCTCACCAAGCCTTGGCACCCTGTGCCAAGCCCATTGTTGCAGGCAGTCACTGTGTCAGTCCATTTCATTGAGAGACTTTCTCTTCTTTTTTTGATCCCTTTTTTTCCCCCAAGCATAATGACCTTATCCCTCTTGATAATACGCCCAATGCATGTGAGACAAAGTCTCACCATCCTTGCTCTTAAGGAGAACTCTGGCTGCACTTCCACCAAAAAAATTTTATTTGTTCTTTTGGCAATCCATAGTATATAGTCAATGTCCTCTGCCAACACCATGGTCAAAGGCTCACTTCTTCTGCCACCCCTATTCTTTGTCCAGCTTTCACTTGCATATGAATCATTTGAAAATATGACTTGCCAGTCTTTAAACTGACATAATATCTCTTTCTCTTTAGCACTTTAAAGAGCTTCTTCGGCAGTACTATATATGGTTTGATTTCTTGACTGCTACTTTCATGGGAATTAATTACTACTATGGCAGGATTCAAATAGAATTAAATCCTCGACAACGTGAATCTTTTCTCCATTTATCATGAAGTTGCTTATTAGTTCAGTCATGAAGATTTTTGTTTTCTTAATATTGAAGTGTAATCCTTACTGAACTTCATCAGTAAGTGCTTTGAACTTTGAACTAATTAAGTGTTTCAAACCTCCAACTTTCAATTAGTAGTCCAACATCTAACCTACTCTGCCACTAGGACTTACCTGCTCTCTTTCTGTGTCTCTGTCTCGCTCTCTTCCTGTCTCTGTCTGTCTGTCTGTCTCTCTTCCTCTCTCTCTCTACACACACACATACACACACACATTGTTGTTGTTGTTATGTAGTATTGAGTTCCCTGCAACCCGTAGTGACTCTATGTACAACAGCTCTAAACTCTGCTCTGTCCTGTGCCAATCTCACTGTCTCCAACACGCCTATCCCCGTTACCCCAGTCACTGAATCAATCCATCTCTTCAAGGGTCTTCCTCTCCTGCGCTGTCCCTCCACCCTCCCAAACATGACGTCCCTCTCCCAGTATTGATCCCGCCTTGCAACAACATGTCCAGAGGAAGCCTCAGAATCCTTGCCTTCAAGGAGCAGCCTGGCTTCACATATACATATACGTTATTGTTGTTGTTTATTGCTGAGTCAGAACTGACCCTAAGCTGACCCTCCAGCAGGTTTTCAGAGGCAGGAGAAGGCTGCCCATCCTTCTCCCTTGGAGCAACTGGTGTAATAAACTGCCTGCCTTTAGGATTGTAGTGCAGTTTCTTACCACTAGGCCACTAGAGCTTTCTTTCTATCTATCTATCTATCTATCTATCTATCTATCTATCTATCTATCTATCTATTATCTATCTATCTATTGACACACACAGACAAATATGTGTGTATATATTCTCAGAAATCCTTCACTAGTTTTGTTGCTCTGAAAAAAAACCAAAACAACCAAACACAAACCAAAAACCCAAACACCACACCAACAAAATCCCCATTGACACTGAGTTAATTCTGATTGACAGCGACCCTGTAGAACTGCCTCATAGGGTTTCCAAGACTTTAATCCTTAAGGAAGCAGATTGCCTCATCTTTCGCCTGGAAGCAGCCAGTAAGTTCAAACCACCAACCTTTCCATTAGCGGCTGAGAGCTTAACCACTGCACTACCATGGCACCCTGGTAGGAGTCCCTCTAGAAAACCCGAATGAAGACAGGGAGCCTCTCACCTTCATCCCAGCCACGTCGATGCGGGTCCTCACGTGGAAGTGGGCCCCCACCTGGATGACCCTGGGCACGCAGTACAGCAGCATGTTGTTGAACTGCGGGAGACACAGATGTGAAAGAGCATGTGAGTGTGTGCAGGCGTGCGTGGGCAGGTGGCAAGACAGAGGGGCAGCCCTGGGCACAGGCCGGTGGGGCTCGTGAAAAGGTGCAAACTCAAACCCACTGACATCAAGTCTGAACTGACTCACAGCTGACCCTCCCCATCAGGTTTCCTGGCCGTAAATCACACAGTAGGGAGATTGCCCATCTTTCTTTCTTTGATTTGCTGGTGGATTTGAACTAGAGAAGCGCAGCCTTCAGGTAAGCAGTGCAATTCCTTAAGAACTAGGCCTTTACATGATTTCTTTACTCAGTACCCACCAGTTCATAGCACATCATGGGCATGGCAAGAACTGTTGTCTAGACTCTGACCCAGTGAGAGAGGTCCCTTATCTCTGGTGTCAAGAACCTCTGCAGACCTTGGAACCCCCTGAGATCCTTCTCACCAGGGCTCAAGGCAGCAGAGGTTAACCAGAGGCTAAGCCTCCTGACCTCCAGGCAATCTCCTGTGTCCAGGTCTCCAGGAGGTTCCCTGGCTTCTTCAGTGCCAACCAGGGCAGTTCTTCCTGGTGCTAACCTAATTCCCTCTTGCTGGCTTGCTCCACTCCATCAACAGATTGCACAGGCTTTGGAGCCAAGCCAACAGAATTCAAACACTGTCTCTATTGCTTCCTAAGACACATCTGAGAAACCTGGGTTGGAAACCTCTGAGGCCTGGAGGCAGCAGGTGACTTGTCCAAAGTCACCCACAAGCCAAAGGCAGAGGAGGATAGAGAACTAGCCCTGTCCTTGTTCTTCCTCAGTGCCAGATTGAGGCCAGGCAGGCTCAGAGTGGCCAATGGACTCCTCTCACCAGTGTATGGTCAGAGACCCCCCCAGAACCCCCTACCAGGAACAGGTAGCGTTCTATGGCGCCGCTGCGGCGGAAGGAGATCTTGAGGACCGGGCCTTCTCGGAGCAGGGTGTTGGAGGGGTCTACTATGTCGTCCTCAAGGCCCAGGCGCTGGTACACCTCCCACAGGTCCTGCAGCCGCTCCTGGGGATGACGGGGAGGGGAGAACCCTTAGTCGCAGGACTGCCCCGTGTGGTGTGGACAGGGACAGAGGGTTGACAGGAGGGTGCTGAGAGACAAGGGTCATGGGCAAGGTCCCAGGATGAACAGACACAGTGACCAGGGCATATTCCAGGGAAACTGAGACTTGAGGGAGGAAGAGGCAGGTCCCCGGGCATACCCGTACCTCCCACCCCCAAGCTGGCCTCCTCACCATCTCTTTGATGGCTGCGTTGGAGTGCTGAGCGGCCGAGAAGATCATGTCAAGCGCTTCTGAAGGAGGCAGGGCCAGAGTTAGCCCCCAAAACTCCTGGAGCAGGAGGCCCCAGAGACTTAACACAGTGGCCTCAGGATGGGCCATGTCCACTCCCAGGAGCAGCCCTGCCTGTGCAGACCAGCACATGGCGGGGGGTCTGTAGGGTGGATCTTGTTTCCCACCCAGTGTGGTGACGTCCAGTCCCCACAAAGCGTAGTGGGTCGGCACAGGCTTCTGTGACTCACTGCTCCCACACCAAGTGGGACCTGGAGCGTGTAGTGAAGAAAGCTTGGGCTACAGCATCAAGCAGGCAGGGGTTCAAATTCCACTCTGTTTCCTTCTGTCTGTGTGACCTCGGGCAAGGCACTTAACCTCTCTGGATCAGATAAGCACGCAGATAGTGTCTACAAAATGCCTACAATTGATAACTGGAGGTCCTAACAACTATTTTAGATGTTAATCAATCTATCGGAGGACTTCAAGATTCCCCGCGCCCTGAACCCTTCGTGGGTGTTCTCACTCTGGGCATCGTTCCGGTCGGGGGATTGGTCAGGCAGCTTCTGGACATAGTCCTTGAGCAGCAGCTCATAGCGTGGGATCCTCTGCACAGGCTCCAGCATGTGGTGCTGCAGGGTCAGGCTGCCCGAGGCCTCGCTGTTCTTGGGGATCAACGGGAGAAGGATGGGGATTGAGAATGGGGAGCAGAGGTCAGTCAGGCCGCCCTTGAGCTTCAGGGGACCAGGCAAAGGAGGGAGAGGGTATACTGGAGCCTACTCAGACCACTGAGCTCAGGACAGGACTGCCTGGCTCCCATGTGGAGAAGGTGAGCCACTGTACACATAGGACGTGGGCCCCACCCAGCCTCACCTGGATTCGAGCTATCACCTCCTGGAAAGGCAGGGACTTGTCAGTCCAGGTGGCCAGCAGCTCAGCAGCCCGCTCAAAGTTCTTGACATACTCACTGTACATCTTCAGGAAGGGGGCCAGTTTCTGGATCACATCGCCAATGCGGGGTGTGGCTGTCCTGTAGAAACATCACCAGTTAGAGCCCTCAGCCAGGGGACCTCCTCTCCTGACCTCTGACCCCTTACCCTTGCAGCTGCAGGCTCAACAGGAGGGTGGTGTTGTCCTCACACCTATGTATGTGGCTGTGCCACACCCACACCCACACCACTGCTGCAAACTCCCCTAAAACACATCCTATTCTCTTCCAGTGATGAGGTCTCTCATACAACCCCGTTGTGTTGAGCATACATTGTTGTTACGTGCTGTTGAGTATAACCCATTGTGACCTATGAACAACAGATGTGAACCCTTTCCTATCCTGTGCTGTTTTCACACTTCCTGACACACTAGAGCCCACTGCGGCAGTCACTGTGTCAGTCCATCTGGTTGAGGGTCTTCAAACTTTTCACTGATCCTCCGCCTTTCCAAGCATCATGTCCTCCTCCAAGGAATAGCCCCTCCTAGCAACATGCTCGAAGTATGTGAGGTGAAGCCTCATGGTGTTTGCCTCCAAGGAGCAACCTGGCTACACTTTCTCCGAAATATATTTGTTCGTTCTTTTGGCAGTCCGTGCAATGTTCATAACTCTTTAACCCTACACCCCAAAGGCATCAATTCTTCATCTGTCATCCTTATTCATTGTCTAGCTCTCAGATGCACAGCAAGTGATTGGGAAAGACCATGGCCTGAATCAGATACCACTTAGTCCTCAAAACGGCATGATTACTCCCCAATAATTTGGAAAGGCTCCTGATTGTGGACTTTCCCAGTGAAATACATATCCTGATTTCCTGACCGCTGCTACCAAGGAAGTTGATTGTGGATCCAAGTAAGACGAAGTTGCTGCACTGCAATCCCAGAGGTATGCGGTTCGAATCCACCAGATGCTCTGCTGGAGAACAAGGGGCAATCTCTTCCTGTACCAGTCAGATCCAATTTGATGGTACACACACACATAAAAATTAAAAATAAAAAGAACCAAGTAAGAAGAAGTTGTCACTGCAATCCCAGAGGTACACAGTTCAAATCCACCAGATGCTCTGCTGGAGAAGGAGGGGCAATCTCCTCCTGTACCAGTCAGATCCAATTTGATGGTACACACACAAAAATTAATTAAAAAAAAGGTGAAGTTGTCGACAGTTTCAATCTTTTCCCTATTTATCATGATGCCTATAGGTCAAATGGTAAGAATTTTTCTTTTCTTTACATCGAGATGCAAGCTATATTGAAGGCTATATTCTTTGATCTTCTGCAACAAGTGCTTCAAGTCCTCCTCACTTTCAGCAAGCAAGGTGGTGTCATCTGCATAATGCAGGTTATTGATGAATCTTCCTCAAATCTTGGTGCCACATTCTTCTTCACAGAGTCCAGCTTCTCAAATAATTTGTTCAGTTTACCGATTGAATAGGTCTGGAGAGAGAATACAACCCCTCAGGGGTGCCTCAGCACTCCTTTCTTAATTTTAAACTATGTGCTCTATTAACACAATGGCCTTGGGTTTAGGTATAGCTTGCACGTTAGCACAATTCAGTGTTCTGGGATTCCTATTCTTCTCAATGTTAATCATAACTTGCTATGATTCACACAGTCAAAAGCTTTTTGCATAGTCAATAAAGCAAACATAGACATTTTTCTGGTATTCTCTACTTTCATCTGACATCAGCAATGATACTCCTGGTGTCACTGCCTCTTAGAAATCTTGCCTGAACTTCTGGCAGTTTCCTGTCTATGTTCTGTTCTAGCCGGTTTTGAGCACACAATAGACAATCAATAACATAATGAGGGGCACATGCTAGGCACTGAGCAAGGTATTTTGAGTGTCTTAGTTCATTTAATTCTCACAATAGTTCTGACTGTGGAAACAGTCATTGGCCCATCTCAGAGATGAGAAAACTGAGGCTCTCAGGGATAAAAACTTCTCTGGTACCATCCTGAGATCAAGGCCTACAGGCCACACAACCCAGGGACTGTTCCATACTTTAGTGGTCATTTATTTTCTTTGAAAGCAAAGCAGTCTTCTTTTATAATATCATCATCATCAACATCATAGGTCCTTAGGAAGGTTACATGAGGTCGTTCTTGGAGAGCCCAAAACCAGGCTTGTAGAAAAGCCCTGAACTAGCATTGGCTACTCTGCTGGTCTGGTTGCACTGCCAACCCAGAAGCACACAGTTCAAATCCATCAATTTCTCCATGAGAGAAAGCTGGGCAATAGCTTCTTGTGCGATTTACTGTCTATGAAAACCCACTGGAGACTCAGCTATGACGGTACATGACTACAACAACCTAAATTGATAAGCCTAAGAATTGATAAGCTTAAGAACCTGACCACATTCCTTCCCCAGTGGCATTGACTTGAATCTCCAGAACCCATTCACCCAAACCTCTGCTTTGCACCCAGATCTGGAACCCAAGGAGGAGGCGGCCATGGCCACACAGCGAAGGCAGAGCCTAACAGGACAGGCCCGGGGTCCTGTGAACTGTGCCCCTGACATGGCCAGGCTGTGGTCAGAGGGCTTCCAGGCTGCTGGCCGAGCTCACCAGTCATCCAGCCGCCGCTGCAGCTCTGGGAGGAAGAACTGCGAATGGAACTGGTAGATGGAGGAGATGTTGGAGAAGATGAGCCTGACCACGTCCTCAGGGAAGGCCTTGCTGCTGCGGGCCTCCTTCAGCAGCTCCTGGAAGAAGACCTGCAGCCAGACCCGGGGTCACTCAGCCTCCAGCAAGAGGGAACCCCACTCGCCAGAACAGGTTACCAAAAGTGTCACCCCCTCCACTCCCAGAATCCCCACAACAACCCTGGGGAGAGAGAAGCAGGGAGGATTCTCTTCTGTCTGCTCTACTGATAAGTAGACCAGGGTTTAGGGACACAGGCGCTTGGTCAAATGGTGGCAGCTGGGAACGTCAGAAATGGACTGCACCTGCCAAAATCTTCATCTCAACTAGGCTAAAGATCATTGCACAGAAATCCAGTGATTATAGATCAAATGAATCCGTGATTGTGCCCTTGAGCCTCAGAGCTCCTTGAGAAAGAGGACAAGTGTGTCAATAGTGAGGATGTGGGCATTGCAATGACCAGGGAGGCTGGAAGTTTTGGCTAGTGTGTCCTTTGCCCTATGTGGGATCATTCCTGGCCACAAAGGTAGAAAGGAGACTGTCACCAATGAGCCGAATCCTAATTTCTATTCCAGCTTGCTCTCAGGTCTAGTGAGGTGGGTGAGAATGCAGAGCAGGGGTGGGTGAGGAGGTCAGGGCTGTGGGGAGGGTCCCAGCCACTGGCCTGGTCCAGCAGGTGGAGGCGTGCCACATAGGCCCGCTCCGTCTCCAGCAGCTCCTGGACAATCCTCTTCTCAGGCTCCTGGATGGGGATTAGAGGGTGAGAAGGGAAAGTGGAGGAAAGAGCTTTGAGCTCCTTGGATAGGAAGCATGAGCACCCATCTTCAAGGATGACCCAGTATTCACACCCTTCCTGCTACCTACTACATCTACGTTAGACCTGGGAGTCACTTTAAAAGATGGGAGGCAGTGAATGTGAGACTGTGCCGGTTCTGAACTTGTGCCTTAAGAGGCCTAGACGCTTCATTTGTGCATTCCTGGGAGGTGCCAAACATCGTGTCAAGAGAGCAGGTTGCCGGGATAGAGGGGAGAGAGTGCAAGGGGCAGCCCGAGACACCATATAGTGAGTGGAGCTATCTTGGGCATTCCAATCCTGGCCACCATCAGATTACAGCCCCGTGAGCTGCCCTGAGCAAGACTGACAGAACAATCAGCCAACTGTATCCTGGTCAACCCACTAAAGGATGACAAACAATGCACCTTTGTATTAGGGCCACTGCATGTGGAGGTGGCTTGGTATGCAACTCGTGGCAAGCAGAATGCACTATAATGCTCATCCTCTCCATTTTACAAGTAGAGAAACTGAGGCATGGGGGTCAAAGTGACTTGCCCAAAGTCGTACAGATAGCAAGCAGTCAGTCTGGAAAGGGAAGCCAGGCAGGCTGGATCCAGGGTGCACAGATGTGGAACTCCATGGGAAGCAATTCTGCTTTACACACAAGAGGTTGAGGTTGGTATGAGTTGGAATTGACTTGATGGCAATTGGTTCCGTTTTAGGTTTTGATGCTTGAATTTTTCAGGTGTAAGTGAAGCCTTCGGAAGGAAGGAACCTGCTTAGGGTCAGACAAGTCTTTAACAGACAGGAGGTAGCGCTCAGATCCTTATTTCCAATGTGGGATTCTTGTCCCCTTTTAGCAGGCAAGTGAAGGCCCACCTGGGAAAGGTACCAGGTTTACACGATGAAGACTGTTTTAACTACTCCAAGCTAACGGGCCTTGGACAAGCTTCTTAAACTGAGTTTCCATTTCTATGCTGGAAAACTCTACAGTGAGGGAAATGTGAAAGAATGCTGGCAGTGGTGTGTAAAACAGACAGTTGATGGAAGGCTGTGAAGAAAGAGAATCCAGCTGATGTCTGGTTTCACAAGACCCCCGTCCCCCTTATGTAGGCCTCTGAGAGGATTTGGGGGAATGTGTGAGGAGGAAGTCAGCAGAGAGGCCTCCTTCGCCCACCTCACATTCAGTCTTCACCTACCTGCGTCCCCGACCCAGGGTCAGTGTCTGGTAGGCAGGACTTCCTCCAGGCCCCACTGGGCAGCTTGTTCTTCAGGGAGCTCAGGTACCTCCTGCTGACTGTCCTGGGCCCAGGCTCCTGGGCCTCCCCGAGGCTGGGTTTCTCCTGCGACCCTGGGGCCTGAGAAGCTCTGTACCCAAGGTTATGATGCTCATCCTCCTCAGGCCTGTGAGCTCTGGGTCCTGCTGCCAACACCCTGAGGAGAACAGAGCAGACGGAGGGTTCTCTTGTCTGTCGAATAAACCAAAGCCACTCTTGTCAGGTTAAGTCGTCCAACTCACAGCCATCCTGAAGGATGGAGCAGAACTGCTCTTAGGATTTCCAAGGTTGAAATTTTTATGGAAGCAACTGTCACATCTTTCTACCATGGAGGGACTGGTGGTTTTGAACCATTGACCTTTGTAGTCGTTGTTGAGTACTGTCAAGTCAGAAGCAGCTCATAGCTGACCCTCCAGCAGAGTTTCAGAGGCAGTAAATCACATGGGAGGAAATTGTCCATCTTCCTTCCACGGAGTAACTGGTGGATTCGAACCACCTACCTTTGGGTTGGCAGCACAATTGCTTACCACCAAACTGCTGAGCCCCCAGAGCTCTTTCATCTGTAGGATAAGGAGAGCATGATAATAACTCCCAAGGGGTGGAGGAAGGGTGACAGGGCAGAGAATGCAAATCGCCATGTGCAATCAATCACCTAAGTACCTCACCCTCGTAGGCTCTCAGTGAGTCAGACTTCTACTTCCCTCCTTCACTTTTCTTGGAGGGAACTCCAGCCTTCAATATTAGTCAGCTTGGATAGTGTTTTATTTTCTGGGGAACTATATACTTCCCTGTTTAAAATACAGCAACGTACAAAAACCCTGATGCACACAGAGGCTTACCTTCACCTTGAGACTTGGAAACAGGGTAGGCCTCACCTCTGTTTCCAGTTTTTGCAGAGGAAAAAGCTCTAAAAACCTTATTAACTGACAGAGAGGGGAAAGATGGGAGCCATGGAACAATCTAGAGTAAGAGCAGAGCTGCTAGAGCTGGGGGAGGGTCTCAAGGGCCCAGGGTGAAGGCTGAGTCTTCCCCAGGCAGCTTTGTTCCTGGGTCTGTAGACTAGTTACGTTCCTGAGGTAAGGGCGGAATCACCCTCATTCATTACATCCAAGGTTGAGAACTGTGTCTCATTCTCTTTGGCATTGAAAAGTTAGCAGTGACAGCACAGACTAGACACACATTGGAAAATGGATGACTCGGGGATTTAACTGGTGTCTAGACTCAGGCACAAAATCTCCAAAACTCTGTGAGAAAGGTTCTCGTCACCCCCATTCTGCAGCTAAAGACACCAAGGTAGCAAAGGATCGGTATTTGCTCTTGTCTCACAGCTGGGAGGTGGCAGAGGTGAGATTTAAAGCAGGCAGCTTGGCTCTGAAAACTTCCCCCTACACTGCCTCTTCCTATTTGAGTAAAACAGAAACTGGTCCAGAGAGGCAAAGTGACTTGGCCCAAGTCACACGGTCAGTTGGTGGCTGAGAGAACCGGCCTCTGCTCTGGCTGCTCCTGCTGGACTCCTTCCCACCACCTGCTGGTGCCTGCAGCCTGTGTGAGTAGCTGGGCCTCTGGTTTTCTGTTCTACATTTGGTTTCAGCTTCTGCATTTCTCCCCAAGTGCCCTGGGTTGGCTTCTGTTCCTCTTCACCCTTCAGTTTCAGATCATCTAAGGTGCTGGAGATCTTGCAAGACAGACCAGGCTAGGGCAATTGTCATGGAGTCTCTCATGAAATTAGGGGTAACTCTCACCCTCCAGTCAAGACTCCTTGGGTCCCATTCTGACCCAGAGCACCCTCCTCTGAACCTAGACACCTGTACATAGTACAGCACGAAAGGGAATTTCCATCTAAGCATGACTGTTCCATGATTAGCGACCTGGACGTGATGAGGGTCATCTTTGTACACCCAAAGGGGGTAATGGGCAGGGAAGGTGGTACCATGAGAGCTGTCCTCGGTGCTGAATAGAATGTACTTCACAATGGACCCTGGGAAAGGCAGAGTATGACCATCCAACTCAAGAAGTCATACATTCTTCTGAGTCTATATTATCACGTGCACTGTGAAACCTGTCCTGAGTGCCCTCCACATAGTATCCAGGCCCCTCTGAGCACATCTATTGTGTATGACTGCTTCGTGGATGTCACTGCAAAAGTATAACATTCAGGAGAGAGAAAGACGTGGCAGTCTGCTTGCATAGACAGACTTACAGACTAGGAACCCCGATGGAGACTTTGTAGCCTGCTCTGCAGGGTCTCAAGGGGTCAGAACTGACTTGGCATCACTGGGTCTGAGTTTAGCACTCACAGACAGGAATCTTCCCAGCGAGGACAATGTTTCAGGCTCCTGAATCCACCACAGTCCCTGTGGGATGCTGTTCTCCCTGCCTGCATCCCCTTCAGGACCAGCGAAGGCACTCTCGCCTACCCCTACGCCCCAGCCATCAGCAACATTATTAGACAATGCATTCTCACTTGAGTCCCTCCTGATGCATCACTCTTTATGGTAGGGGGCTGCTTTGTCCAAGTCTTCCCCAAGGCAACTCACTTCCAATGACTAGTCAATATGGGGTGAAATGACCCCACCCCTCTGCCTCAGTTAGAACAACCTGGCAGAGCCATCCCAGCCCCAGAGCTCCTGGGGACAGGCTAAGGCCTCTGTTGTAATTCATCGCAGTTTATCTTCTCCCTCCACCCTTGCTCTACTACTCCTCTCACCCTCTTGAGGGGTCCTCACCCAAAGCTCTTCCCAATAAGTCCTCAAAGAAAATCTCCAACCCAGGGTCTTCTATTCCTACAACAATCCTAAAGTGTCCTGGGCTTAGTAATCCCCGCTGAGTGAACTGACCACACACACACACACACACACACACACACACACCCCTTGGAAGAGCTACTAATGACCTCTGATCCAGCCCTTTCCTTTCCCTTCAGATGGAAGCCCTACCCATGCCCAAGAGCACATAAACTGGATGCTTCTGGCATCCTCCCCTCACTGTGCCTTTCTAGAAAATGGGGATATTAGGAGGACCCACCCATAGTTAGGCTGTTTGTTAAGCTGATCAGATGAAACGAGCCACAAAATGCATGTAGGTCAGTGCCCATAGGCAGGATGAGCATGCACCCAGGTTTACCCAATACAAGACCAGCCCCACCTGTTGTCCCAGAGAATAAAAATAATAGTAGCACCGACTTTCCATTTCAAAAGTGCTGTTGTCAATAAGAAATTATATGGTCAACCGACTCATGGGAGTCAGTGCTGGGTAAATAATAACTACTCTTCCTTCAAGGTGCCAGAGGGGAGTTGGGCAGCCCAGTGGATTACACTGCCTTTGATCCTCCCACACTCACTCTTACTGACACAAACACAGGTCTGCATGCTTCCTGATGCATAGAGACACTCTCACCCCTGCCCGGCTCCTGGTGCCTCCAGGATACTCTCCTTTGATCCCCAAAACCCACCACCAGGGACCCTTGTGGGGCCCAGGAAGAGAAGGAGACTCACAGAGGGACCATAAGGTGGCCCAGGCTCTGTTTCCCAGCATTGACTAAGAGGGTCTTTTTTTGTTGAGGGCCCAGGAGTGGACAAAGGGGCTGGAGAGAGGCTGCCAGTCCCCATGAGGACCCTTCCAACCCCAGTCACCCCATACCTGTTGTTCTCAAACACAGTCACCAAGCTGGACACAGAAGCCAGCTTCTCCTCACTCGCCCACTCCATGATGCCGGTCTCCCACTGGTCCGCAGTCACCTCCAAAACAGGGAGATCTGTACACAGCACTCTCAGCTCCACAGCATGGGGACATGGAGGGCCTAAGATGCCCTAGGATCTTCTCCCATCTTTCCTGAGGGCTCTGCAGGCCTGCTCCTGTCTCCACAGTGAGAAAAGAGGAAGTGGTCTCAGAACAGGCCCAAAGGGGAAAGGCCAGTGCACCCCACAGTGGGAGGAGCCCACTCCTGCCTGGTCCGCCCTCACAAGGGCTGACCTTTAACCCTAGATGCCCCCAGTCCTAGAATCCACCCCTGAGGGGGAACCGGATTCAATGCGAGTTTCTGGAGCCAGGCCTTTGACTGACCTCTTGTCCTGAGTGTGTCTGGTTGACCACACTTCCTCCCCTATAAAGTCCAGTTGCTTTTACTGAATCCTTTTCTCAGCAACTTCTCTTCTGCATATTACCCTGCTCACTGCTTTGAGGAACCAAGTTCATTGTTTAAAATCACAAACTTTGTTCATTGTTGGCCGGAGGAAAGCTGAGGGAGGAGCACTGTGGTGTTTCCACCTCCCTGCTGGGGTTATCTCCACATCACTGTCCCAGGGGAAGGCAGTTTCCTCTCTGAAACTCTGAAGGTAAAAGCTGATATTTGCACTTTTTTTTTTGCACTTTCTTAAAATGCCTTATAAATATTATGTGATATAATCCTTTAATAGCCTTATGAAGCAGATCCTGTCACTATCTTCATTTTACAGAAGAGGGAACTGATGATCAGAGGGGCTAAGTAACTTGCCCAAGGTCACACAGGAAGAACGAAAGAGTCGCCATTGTTCCAAAGCAAAGAGGATTACCACAATATCCCAGGAAAGAGTTGGCTGGGGGCCTGGAGGGCCACATTCTTGCTGCTCCTCCCATGCTGGCTTGTCTCTGCTTGATGACTTCTATACCACCTGGCCTCCCATCCCCAAAGCACATCTTGGCCGTTCCAGAACAAATGGTGGTAACCTTCTCCACTTTCCCGATTCAAGTCCTGTGGGCCTTGAAGGCAGGCCTCCCCTGCAGGATCCTGGTCACAACACGAGACAGGCTCCTCTGCTGTGACTGGTCCTTGTCCTGTAGGATAGGGACTGTGCCTTAGTCATATGGGCCCTTTAATTGCCTGCCACACTTTCACACTCTGGTGTCTGGGAACCTCTTGACCCCATACACCCAACAGTCTGGCTCTCTCTGAGTGCTGCCTGTGTGGCTGCTTCTACTTGCTAAACCTAAAATTTACTCTTTTTTCCTCCTAAAAAGCTCCTCATTTCTCCTTTGCTTCAGCCCCTGTTGTTATTAGGTGTCTCTGGGACCGCTGTGACTCACAGTAACCCCATCTACAAGAGAACAAAGTGCTACTGGATCTGCATCATCCTCACAATCTCCACTGTGCTCAAAACCAGTGCTGCGGTCGCTGTGTCAATCCGTCTTCTTGGGAGCCTGCCTCTCTTCCTCTGACCCTCCCCTTTTCCAAGCATGATACCCTTCTTCAGAGACTGATCCCTCCAAGAAACATGTCTATATTCACGCCATGTTTGCCTCTAAGAAGCACTCTGGCTGGACTCATTTCAAGATAGATTTGTGTATTCTTTGGTTAACCTGTGATAGTTAAAGACTATGTGTCAATATGACACCTTAGATTTTCTGGTTTGGCAGGCGTGCTGCAGTCATTCCGTTGATGAGCTTCAGGGTAGTGTAGTCATTTCTTTGATGGGATTTGCTATGAGTTGTCACTTGGCTGAGGGCAAATTTCAACAGGGGCTTAGCTTGCATCAAGTGCATAAAGCAGCATGGCAGAGCAGGCTTGCTTTTTGATCAATCTTGATCTTGCATCTGACCTATGATCTCTTTGGTTCCTGCCTTATCTTAGATTCATCAAGCAGCTCCACAGTTACTTGCCACAGAGTTGAGATCTGCCAGATTACATAATTGCGTGCAGGAAATCAAAGACTGCAACCTTCAACATGGATTACATTCCAACATCAAGGAAACAAAAATCCTCACCACTGAACCCAATAAGCAATCTTGATTCATGGATAAAATATTGAAGTTGTTAACGATTTCATTTGACTTGGATCCACAATCAACATCTATGGTAACAGAAGTCCTTAAAATAAAAAGAATTGCTGTATCAGGGAAATCTACTGATAAGGACCTCTGCTTTATCAGGGAAATCTACTGATAAGGACCTCTCCAAAGCACTAAAGAGCAAGGATGTCAATTTATCTACTAGGGTGCACCTGATCCAGGCCATGATATTTTCAGTTGCTTCCTATACATCTGAAAGTTGGACAATGAATACAGATGACAGAAGAAGAATTGATGCTGTTAAGTTGTGGTGGCAGAGAATACCGAGTATCTTTGAACTGCCAAAAGAACAAATAAGTCACTCAGGAAGTACAATCAGATTGCTCCCTAGAAGAAAAGATGGTGAAATTTGTTTTCACTTACTTTGGGTGTGTTGTCAGGAGAGGCCAGTTCTTTGGAAAAGACATCATGCTGGAGGAAAGGTCAGTGAAAGAGAAGAGAACCTTCAACACATAGATTGACAAAGTGACTGTGGCAATATGTTTGAGCAATATGTTGAGACAAAGAGGATGGGGCAGGACAGGGCAAGGTTCAGATCTGTTGTTCATAGACTCCCTGAGAGTCATAATTCTATGGCACCTAGAAGAATTGATGCCTTTGAGTTGTGGTGCTGGAGAAGAGTCTTGAACATAACAAGGACCCCCCCAAGAAAATAAATGAATGAATGAATGAATGAATGAATAAACAAACATGTCTGTCTTGGAGAGGGTGAAATCAAATTTCTCCTTGGAGGCTAGGATTTTGAAGCTCCATCTCACATATTTTGGGCACGTGGCCAGAAGGAACTCTACAGTATATAACTGCAACAATGACAACAACAATTGTATGACTCATTTCATCAAATAACCTCTCTTGATAAGATCTGTCTATAGACAGATTTTATTGTTATTATATGTCATTGAATCACCTGCAACTCACAGCAACCCAATGAACAATAGTTCTGAATCCTCAACTATTCTGAGCAAATCTCACTGTCTTCAACACATTTATCCCTATTACCCCATTTACTGTGTCAATCCATCTTATCCAGTCTTCTTCTCTTACGCCGTCCCTCTACTCTTCCAAGCATGATGTCCTTCTCCAAGGACTGATCTCTCCCAGCAACATATTCAAAGTATGTCAGATGGAGCTCCAAAATCCTTGCAACTTGGTTTCACCCTCTCCATCACAAACCTGTTTGTTCTCTTAGTGGTTCATGGTATGTTCAATTTTCTTCTCCAGCACCACAACTGAAAGGCATAGATTCTTCTTCTGTCATCCTTAGTCAGTCTGACACATAGCAAGTAACTGCAAAGATCATGGTCTGGATCAGGGACACATTATTGTCTAGACTGACATAATTTTTCCTCAGCATTCTGATGAGCTCCCTGACATCAGATTTTCCCAATGCAATAAATCTTTTGATTTCTTGACTGCTGGTACCAAGAGTATTGATGGTGGAACCAAGCAAGTTTAAATTGTTAATAATCTCTTCCTCATCTATCATGGTGCTACCACTTGGCCAGGTGGGAAGAATCTTTGTTTTCTTGATGTTGAGCTTCAATCCATATTGAAGACCACAATCCTTGACTTTCTGCAAGAAGTGCTTCAGTGCTTCAGATGCCCCTCAGTTTCAGCAAGCAAGGTTTTGTCATATGCATAACACCAACTCTTTAACTCAAAGGCATTAACTCTTCAGTATTCCCTATTCTTTGTCCAACTTAAATGCTTCTGAAGCAATTATAATGAAATGGCTTGGGTCCATTGAACTTTAGCCTTTAAACTAACATCTTTGCTCATTAGTACTTTATAGAAGTTCTTGACTGCAGATGTGCCCAGTGCAATACATCTCTTTATTTCTTGACTGCTGCTTCTGATCATGGTCATGTGGCCAGTTATAGTAAGATCTGAAACTGTTACAAGCACGCATGGACTATTTTTGTGTTCTTCACCAATATAAGAAAATATATAAATGAGGTCAGTGCATTTCTAGTCGTAAGTAAGCTAGTTGTATCATTTTAGATATGAATATGATATGACAATCAAAACCTTGCTTGCTGAAACTGAGGGGGACCTGAGGTATTTGCTGCAGAAGGTCAGGGACTGTAGCTTTCAATATGAATTGAAGCTCAATATCAAGAAAATAAAAATTCTCATGACTGGGCCAGTTGGCAGCATCATGATAGATGGTGAAGTGATTGAGCTTGTTAACAGCTTCAGTTTGCTTGGCTCCACATCACTCTTGGTACCAGCAGCCAGAAAATCAAAAGATTAGTTACATTGGGAAATTATGCTTTCAGGAACGTCTCTAGAGTACTAAAGAGCAATGATGTCAGTCTCGAGACTAAGGTGTGTCTGATCCTGGTCATGGTCTGTGCAATTACTTGCTATGCATCAGAGAGCTGGACAATGACTAAGGATGACAGAAGGAGAATTAATGTCTTTGAGCTGTGGTGCTAGAAAAAGAGTATTGCATATACCATGGACTGCTAGGAGAACAAACAAACTTTTCCTAAAGAGGGTGAAATCAGGCTGCTCTTTAGAGGCAAGAATTCTGAAGCTCCATTTTTACATACTTTGTCCATGTTGCAAAAAGGGACCAGTCCTTGGAGAGAGTGGTGGGAGAGCATAAGAGAGGAAGACCCTGGATGAGATAGATTGACTTAGCGACTTGAAGTAATGCAGGTAGGTGTGTTCCAGAGACAATGAGGTTAGCTCAAAATAGAGCAGGGTTCACAGTTGTTGTACACAGACTTGCTATGTGTCACAAGTGACTCAACAGCACATAGCAACAACAGTAACCTTTAAGGTTATGAATTAAAGAGGTGTGTACAGGTGCCAAATTGACAAAGGATAAACTGTGTCGGTCAAAGTTTTATGTCATCCTGACTGTCTGTGGCTGCCA